CCCCTCCCAGAGGTGGCAGCCTGGGACACACGGTGCTGTGACAAGGCAGTGCTGCTGAATGAAGCTGAAGCAGTCCCTCCCTGTGGAGCTGTGCCTGGAAATCACCTTTTATTCCACACTGCCAGGCTGTTTCAGCTCCTCTGAACCATTCCTCCCCGTGCTGGAGCTCATTTCCTTTGATAACATTGGTGTTGAGGGCTGGCTTTGTCCTGGCCAGACCTCAGAGACCATTTCACTACTGAGACAGGAACAGCTCCAGCCCCATTTGATCTTTTCTGTGTGAAGACAGCTTTATAAAACCCTGGTTTTTTTAGCAGACAATCAGTGCAGAGTCTCACAGTGAGAGCAGCTCTTCTGGAGCCCTTTCCTGGGCAGAGCTGGCCCAGAGGGTCAGGGTTGATGATGGGCTGGCAGAGGGCACTGCTGCTGAGTGCCTGTGCCACCCTCCATGCTGGGGGAAGGCTGCAGAGCCCAGATTATCCCTCATTCTTTTCAGTCCTGTAAGGAAAAGCAGAGTTTTGACATGCAAATCTTCTCAGGTGAGCCTCCACAGTCCTGATTCCAATCCTCCCTTACCAGGAAAGTGCTGTTCTCAGTGGGAATTGTCACTCTGCTTGTGGAATTTCTCTCTCCAGCTTGTGGCCGTGTTCAGATTTCTGCTATGGGATTTCTAGAATGTTTTTCTTCCCTCTTAACCTCCCCCAGGTGTGCCCATCCCAACATCAGACCTAGTGAAGATGAGGAGAGGCTGTAGGTCTGAAATGTGGAACAGCTTCCTCACCTCCAGTCAGATTTCCTTTTCCTGGAGGTGGAAGAAATAAACCAAAGGGTGCTCCCCATGCAGCAGCTGGGCTGTTCTCCATCAGTCCCTGGATTTTGGCAATGCCTGGAAGGGCTGCTGGATCAGGGTCCTGCTCTAAGGGTGGGGATTGCTCTGCTCTGCCCTCACCTCAGCTCTGGGGCAGGTGTGGGTGCCACAATATCAGAAGGATCTGAAGCTGTTGGAGTGGCCAGAGGAGGGACCTGGGCATGGGGAAGGGTCTGAGGAGCAGCTGAGGGCACTTGGATTGTTCAGCTGGAGGAGGAGACTGAGGGCAGAGCTCAGGGGGGCTGCAGCTCCTCCCCAGGGGCAGCTCTGATCTCTGGGACAGGGAATGGCTGGGGCAGGGCAGGGTCAGGCTGGATTTTGGGAAAGGTTCATCCCCAGAGGGTGCTGGCACTGCCCAGGGATGCCCAGGGAATGGGCACAGCCCCGAGGCTGCCAGA